ATGGCAGATAAGGTGGCCGCGCACTTCGAAGGCCGCGTCGAGTGGATCCTCGACCACCACGCCAGCACGGGTGCCCACCCGGAGGCCAGGGCCGAGGTGGTCGAGGGGCTCGGCTCCGCCTGCACCCTCGTGGCCGAGCGGCTCCTGTCCCGGCCCGGCCAGGTCCCTAGGGAGCTCGGGACGCTGCTGGCCGGCGTGATCCTGCTCGACAACCGCAATTTCAGCCCTGGAGAGGCAAAGGGCACTGCCCGAGACAGGGAGGCCTTCGACAGGCTTCGAATGATAAACAAATGTTGACAGCATCTGATCGTAAGAAGCGCAATGATAGAACACACTAGTAGTAATGTTCAGAAGCTGTATAAACATGCGCTTCGGAGGTGTGCGCGGATTCGCGGAATCGGGAATCCACTCTCTGTCGCGCGGAGCGAGCCAAAGGCGCCGCCAGAGGCGTCGCCAGATTCGCCGCCAGGGGATCAGCGCCGCCGATCCAAGGAATCCGCGCGGACCTCCGACAGTTTGTTTATGTAGTCAATCACTCTTCGTAGGCTGGCGGAGTTCGTCCCCGAAGTGGGTGCTGGGGCCTGGTACAAGGAACTCATGCATGCCCGAAAGGACATCTCCCACCTCGGAGTGCGCGACCTGCTGAAGCTGGACATGAAGATCGCCGATGCCGGACCCCGACATCTTGCGTCCCCAGTCATCCTACGATGTGTTTGTCTTCATCCGCGGCCAGATCTCCCAATCACTTCTCCGGGGGCAGTGTTTCATCCAGGATCTATGTTCTCCATTTCGGCTTTGTCCAGGGATTCTTCTTTGTTTGTGAAGGGACTGGTGGGTGCCTGACGCGGTCTCGCCAGGGTCCCTCGGGATGTTTTGTTGTTGTTGTTGCTGTTGTTGTTGTTGTAGTTGTTGCTGTTGTTGTCGTGGTTGCTGCTGCTGTGGTTGTAAGTGTTGCTGCTGCTGTTGTTGTTGTTGTTGTTGCTGTTGTTGATGTTGTTGTTGTTGTTGGCGTTGTAATTGTTTTTGTTGTTGGCGTTGTCGTTGTTGTTTTTGTTGTTGGCGTTGTCGTTGTTGGTGTTGTTGTTGTTGTTGTTGGTGTTGTTGTTGTTGTTGTTGTTGTTGTTGTTGTTGTTGTTGCTGTTGTTGTTGTTGTTGTTGTTGTTGCTGTTGTTGTTGTTGTTGTTGTTGTTGCTGTTGTTGTTGTTGTTGTTGTTGTTGTTGTTGTTGTTGTTTTATTTGCTTCCTGACAAGAGGGCGTTTCCTTGAGGCTGCTGGGCTTTGTTTCGCTGAAGTGGCCTGAGCTGGTGGGTGCCTGGCCTGGCCGGCCGGCGCTGCTCGGGCCTGCTCGGTCTTGTTTCCCTTGCAGTGGCGTGTTTCGGGGCTGCTGGGTCTTGTTTCGTGACAGTGGGCCGATCGAAGGTTGCTTTGCTTGTGCTTGCCTGGTCTTGCTTCCTTGCTGCGCTCCCTGGCTTGCTCAGTCTTGCTTCCTGCTTGCGTTCGCCCAGGCATGCGAAGAAGCGCCAGGCAATGCCAAGCAACGCCAGGCAATGCCGAGCGAGTCCCAGCAACGCCAAGCAATGCTGCGGAATGTCAAGCAGCACCGAGAAACGCCACGCAATGCCAAGCAACGTCAAGCAACGCCAAGCAGTGCAACGCAACGCCGGGGAACGTCAAGCAACCCCAAGCAATGCCAAGCAGTGCCAAGCAACCCCAAGCAATGCAACGCAGCGCCAAGCAGCGTCAAGCAACGCCAGGCTATGCGCGCCCATGCAACGGGAAGCCTTCCCTGGATCGGGGTCGCGCCGGGCTCCTTGATGGCCCGGCGGTCCCCGGCGCGGCGCCCCTGGGGCCCCCATCGAGGGAATGCCGGGATCGAACGGGGTCCATCCGCCGGGTGTCGGGGAGGAGGAGGAGGAGGAGGAGGAGGAGGAGGAGGACGAGGAGGAGGAGGACGAGGAGGAGCCGAGGCCCAGACATCCGATGGACTGTTTTTGCTCGATCGGCGGTCCCCAGATGTCTCGACCCATTCCCCACGGGTAGGGTTTCGTCCCCGATTCACTTCTGGTGGTCCTGGGGCCCGGAGGTAGCCCCAGGAGCCGAAGGAGCAACGAGCAGCGCAGGGTTCGACCGGACGTAAGAGTGATGACCTTTCGCCAGAGTGACCTCGAGTGCGGGCCCAATGAGGTCCCCCGACCGCTGAGCGCGAAGCGGTGGCAGCGGCTGGCGCGCCCAGGTTTGGCCACCCCGCGTCCCCCGTTAAGCCGCGCACCAAAGGTCGCGCTTGCCTAGGGTCACTCTTGCGTGTAGCCGAAGGAGAAGTCCATCCGCCCGAAGTCTGGGGGCAGGGCCAGAGCTCCCTCCTCCTCCTCCTCCTCCTCCTCCTCCTTCCTCCTCCCTCCTCCTCCTTCCTCCTTCCTCCTTCCTCCTTCCTCCTTCCTCCTTCCTCCTTCCTCCTTCCTCCTCCTCCTCCTCCTAGGCCTCTCCCTCCAGCCTTCTCATCCATCACCTCCTGATCCCGCTCCTCTCGCCCTCCTGCCGTGCCGTCCCCCTCCTGCCTCCTTCCTCCTTCCCGCTTTCTGCTTCCTCTCCTCCAGTCTCCTGTCGTCATCCTCCTCCTCCTCTATCCGCCCCCAAGTTCCCCCTCTCATCCGTCCTCCTCCTTCCTTCTCCTCCTCCTCCTCCATTCAATCTCCTCTCAATTCTACTCCTCCTCTACTCCTCTCCTCCTCCTCTCCTCCTCCCTCTCCTCCTCCTCCTCCTCCCCTCCATTCCTCTTCCTCCCGTCCCTACCTCCTCACTGCTCCTCCCCTCATTCCTCTCCAATTTAACTCCCCTCCTCTCCTCCCCTTTTTCTTTTTTTTTTCTCATGAGCCAATAAATTTCAACTCCTCTCCTCCCCTCTCTCCGCTCCTCCTCCTCCTCCTCCTCCTCCTCCTCCTCCTCCTCCCCCTCCTCCTCCTTCCCCTCCGCGCTCCTGGGGGCCCTCCCCCTCGAGCCAGGAACGGCCCAGCCGCGGCGCGCCCCTTCGCGGGACCGCCCTGAAGCCCCAGGGCAGGGCTGCGCCTGCCCCGGGCCGCTCTCCCCCTCCGTGGCGCCCAGGCTCGCAGAGCTCTGGCGCCGTGATCTGCAGTTTGGGGCTCGTCGTCGTCGTCGTCGCCTTCGTCGTCGTCGTCGCCTTCGTCATCGTCGTCGTCGTCGTCGTCGTCGTCGTCGTCGGCCTCGTCGTCGTCGTCGTCGTCGTCGTCGTCGCCTTCGGCGGAAGCCAGCAGAACCCAGGCGTGTCCGCGTCGCGAGAAGCTCACGTCGGACGGTCGTGGGCCAAGTGCGGCCTCGACGGGCCCTCGCTGGGCCCCAGGGCTGGCAGCAGGATGGCCCGGGATGAGGAAGCAGTTTCTAGGAGGGGGGCCAGGTCCCTGGGGACGAGAGAGAATGCGCGAGTGCAGAAGTGTGAGGACGAGAGAATGCAGTGGCAGGCCGGCGCAGCATGTGGGAGCGCGCGGATGCGAGAATGTGAGAATATCAGAATGTGGGAAGGGCAAGCGAGAAGGCGGATGGTGGCTTTGAGAGAAGCTCGCGGCAGCCCGCACAGGGCGCGCCTCTGCGCACGCCGCCCCAGTCCAGTCCAGTCCAGTCCAGTCCAGGTCCCTGGGGAGCCACGCCGCGAGAAGACCGCAACGTCGGGTGCCCGAGGAGGCCAAGCAGCGGCGGGTCCGCTGGCGGAAGGTTGGCGGAAGGCGGCGGAAGTGCACGAAAGCCTCGGCGGCTCAAGGACGTCGCTTGCTCGGGCGCGCGTGGGGTCGCAACTCCCCACCAGGCAGACTCACAGCATTCCCCCAGCCATGGCGTTGCCTGCTGCTGCATGAGGGAGTCGGCTGGGGAGAACGACGCCGACGCCTGCGAGGTGAGCGCTGCTCGGCTGCCCGACCGAGCTGAACCGCAATATCCAGACGTTGACGTCAGGTGCGTCTGCGGGAGCCAGGGCGTATGGGGAACAAGCGAGCCCATCGACGTGCACTAAGGCTGGTGGCACTGACAGGAGCCTGCTGGTACAAAGGTCAGCATTGGACTCGCTCCTCGATAGCCGCGCTTGCCACTAGCGGCGTGTGTCATGAACCCCATGTCGACCCCTCGCCCTCGGCCCCGTCGGGCCTTGGAATGTTGCGGAAAAAGCGTTCAAAACAACTACTGAAGATTTGGAGCTACAACACGGAGTCCTTGGTGATCATGGACCGTCTTGGGGAGATCTTACGGTTAGCGCGGGATCGGGAAGTAGCAGTGTGCTGTTTTCAGAGTACCCTCATGTCCCTGAACATCGCGTGGCATTGTGAAGGATTTCGCATACTTCCTACACCTAGGACGTCCCCCAAGGCCAAAGACGGGTGCCTCATAGCTGTCAACAAGCGGTTCTTCGGGATGGATGAAATACGATGTGTTCATGAGTGGGTCCCTGGACGTCTTCAGGGTGTTCGCTTACGTAGGGCTGGCCGTCGACCCCGAGACCTCTACGTCCTCAACGGGTACTCCTGGACCAACGAGCCCCCCAGAGCGCCCCAGGGCCAGACCACTGAAGTGAATGAAAAACACTGGAAGTCCCAGGATGCGTTTTGGCAACAGTGCGAAGACACCATCTCGAGGATCCCCGGCCGCTCAGCCCTGGTTTGGTGCTTAGATGCCAACGCATCAGTGGCCCCATCACCTCCTAACACAGGCTTCGCAGGCTCTCGGAGGTCCCTCAGCAGGACGAACCAGAATGGCCACAAGTTCCTGTCGGTACTCCAGAACCAAGGATTGGCAGCCCTCAACACTTTCGGCAAGGCCTCTCGCTTCAACTCCACGTGGGTCCACACGGACGGGGTGAGCTGGTCAACGATTGACTACGTGTGCGTGCGTCTTCAGGGAGGCTACGGCCGCGCGAGCCGGCCGCTCATTGACCTCCCAGTGAGCTTGGGAGGCTACCGGGATCATCGACCTGTGGAGGCAACGATATATGCTGGACTACGGTGCAAGCTACAACGCCCTCCTTCAGAGCTTCGCTGGAATAGGGACCTCATCATGACAGACCTCAAGGACCTGCAGAGGGCCCAGCAGCAGGAGAGCTCCACGATCCCCGAACGGGTCTCACAGTTGTGTGGCACAGTAGATCGGCATCTTCGTGAGCGACGTCTTCGGGGAGAGTGGCAACATGTGTGTGGTCCTGGCCAGGCGTATGGCACGACGTCTGAGTACTTCGATGCCCTCGAGGGCGCTATTGTTGACGCAGCGGTGGACATCTATACCACGCCGCCCACCAAGCAGGCGGCCCCCGCCTTTCCTGATGAGACGTGGGAGCTTATCGCTAAGAAGCAGCTCTACCAACGCATGCTCGCCAAGGCTGTCCTGGGGAGTTGGCTACACAAGACACTGACGAGCCAGTACAAGCACTTTATGCGGTTGGCGAAGAAAGCAGTCCGAGCCTTTCGCAGACAACGAACAGCAGAGCTAGTTGACCAAGCTGAGCAGGCGGACCATCACAACGACATCAGGAAGGGCTACGCTATTATTAGACGTATCGCTCCGAAGCCCACGGCTCCATCTATGACGGTTCACAATCCTGCTACTGGGACGGTATGCTTTGACCACGAGGAGGATATGGAAGTACGAGCCCGAGCCCTGTGTACCATTTTTCAGGCGGAA